CCACTGCCTCAGCGCCATGGGTAAGGCGTTGGCGGGTAACGGGGCAGTCGGAGGGCACGAAACCGGCCCGCCGGGTTCCCATCATCATCCTCATCCTCCTCCTCTTCATCAGCAACGCCTTCTGCTCGTCACTTTTTTTATTTTGCCTTTGAAAGATGCAGAATGTTGCTTTTTATAGCAGTGCAACACACCGCTGCGCACCTGCAGCAACACCTCCTGCATCCCACCCTCTCGTTTTGAGGATGCTGGCTGTCATGGAGCACCCCACTGCCGCCACCCTGCCGGAGGGCACCCTGCCCTGCCCCAGCCCTGCCCAAGCGCCCACCGGACCCGTGGGAGGGTTGCGAAAGGCCTCGAGCCCACGGCAGGACAAGCAGTGGGGCGTACAGGGGGCTGGCGGCGGGCAGCCCGGCTGATTCGGGGCTGGCGGCGGGCTGGATGCTCGCCCAGGCAGCCAGGGTGTGGGATTTCTGCAAGCTGGCCGGGCCCGCCAAGCAAACGTGCTGCTGGGGAACACCCGCTAGTCCAGCACTTTTTTTTTCTTTTCTTTTTTTTTTTTTTAATTATTAGTATTACTTTTATTCTTTTCCGGGATGGGTCAGTCCCTGCCTGGGGAGGAGGGGACAAAGTTGTTTAATCCAGCTTCCTAGTCAGGGCTTGCTTCTCGCAAGGCTTTATGTGTTGCTTTTCGCCAGGTTTTGCGTGCTGCTGCAAGGTAAGTGACTTCGCGCTCATTTTTGTTTTCCCTCCCGCTTCTTTCTCAACAAGCCACGCGGTGTCATAGGTGCTAGGGTCACAAAACTCCCGCTTGTTTTGGCAAAACCCAAAATTGGTTCTTGAAAGCAGCGTGGTGGCGGGCGGGCGTGTGTTTACATGTGGCTTACCAGGTAAGGCTGGGTTGAAGCCTCTAGTGGTGGGGAAAACATGCCTGCTGGAGCTGCTTGAGCCATCCAGTGATGCCTTTCCCCTCTCGTGATTAATTCGTCTTAATTGGAGGAAACCTTTTAACTTCCACTGGCCGAAACCAGGGGAAGGCGGGAGTGAGACAGGTACCGCATCAGTACTGTTCCTCAGGGATAACAAACACCAACTCCGAGCTTTACATGATCAAAACATTTTTTTTTTGTTGTTTGTTGGTTGTTTTTTTTTTTTCTCTCCCTGGTTAATGGCTGTGGTTACAGCTGCAGAGGACTTACTGTAATATGCCCTTAGGAAAGATTTTCTGACATTATTGCAGTAATTACAGCTTAATGCAAGTTTCACAACCTCGCATAGCGCAAACACACGTGGCACAGGCAGGCAAGGATGCTGGGGTTCCTCAGCAGGGAGAGCTGCAGCCAGTGTTTTAGCAGCAAGTGACTTTTTTTTTTTTTTTGGTGCTCCAGGAAGAAATTGAAGTTTTCCCGAGCTCCTGCTTTTTCATTGCTGTAGGAAAGCTGTTGAAATGCTGGTTTTAGTGGAGCCTTTGTTCTGTTATTGTTGCTAGGGGCATCGTCCTAAACAACTATAAGCAAATGGAAAATACTCGAGCTATTTAAATGGGACCCTTGGCTATTATTGAGCACGATTAAGCTGGGAGTGCAGAGCTGTTTCATCCCCAGTCAGGGACTGCAGCTCCCAGGCTGTCACTTACTGTGCAGCTTGCCTCCACAGAGGGCTGTGGGTTTGCCCTGCGCACCTCTTCCTCGGTCCCTTTGCTTTGGCGGTGTCCCGCCGGATGCGTGCCGTTAAGTTTTCCGCACGGAAACGGGTTAGTCCCTCTGCAAGGAAGCAAAGGGTATAATTTTTTGTTGTGTTTTTATGTGCTGATTTTTATCTGTTGTAAGGCACTGGCTACAGGCTGAGAGATGGAGAGCTTCTCTAGGAAGCGCAAGCAAGTCGTCTTTAATAATAATAATAATAATAATAAACAGGCGTTTCCTGTAAGTAAGAGCAGTTTGTGTGCGATAGGTGCTCTCAGCCTCTCCCGTGGGCAGCGGCTGGACTGTTTCCAAGGCTGGTTGAGCAAAGCAAGCTCATGCTCTGCCCTGAAGCTGCCTCTTCTAAATCTTATAAAACCTTCCCTGAAGTTTTCAGTAATGATGACCCAAATAATAATTAAGCGCTGAAAGTGCCTCTGCGAGACAAAAAAGGTGGAGGCAGCCCTGGGGAATTACAGGATGCCTTTGGTTGTGTGCGGGTGTGTGAGCGAGGGCTAATTGCTGGAGGAAGAGCTGTTCCTGGCATGGGAGGTGGCAGGCGGCGATGCTTTGGGCTGTCTCGCTTCTCTGACAGTGCAAGGGGGTACACCTGGACACCTCCAAAGCTGTGTTTTTGGGAAATGAGGAAAGCAGCAAGGGGATGTTCTTGGATGGGAGGTGGGAAGGATTGCAGTGCTGGCTCAGCATATCTGGGAAGATGCTTTTGGGGATGAGTAGGAGAGGAGCGGGGATGAGTTTATTGAGCTGTGCCAGGGAAGGTACCGAGGAAAAAGACAAGCCGGCTTTTTGCTGAAGAGTGTGGCAGGGATGGTGGTTGGCCTGCTGGGAGTGCTCACCATGAGGTCACCCAAGACAAGAAACCCACCCTTTGGCAGGGTTGTGTGAATTTTAGACTGATATTTCAAGTCTTTGGCTCTTAGCAGGAGCTCATCATTTTCTTTTTGGGTTTTTTATGTTCAAAGAGCAGCTCTGTCTAACGGCACAGGAGTACAGGGTTTGCATGTTTGTTTTTGGGATGTATTTGGAGCAGGTGCATGCAAGTGCTCTGTAAATGGGTTTTTCCAGTGCTGTTTTGATCCCAGTGTGGTCTCCTGCGCTGTGGAAGAGGGGAGGGAAGCAGCATGAACCTCTCGTTACCTGCAAAGGAGATCCTCTGGGTGTAATAGGGGAATTTAAGGGGCAAACCTTGAGCTGAGAAGCTGGCGGTGTCGTTCCTGTTGCTTTTTTTCGGAGCTGCTACTGTTTTCTTCCTGTGTTTCACACGCAACTCATCTGAAACCATCTTCTGAGGAGGTTTTCTGCAGGGGGTTTGGATGACCATGCCCAGGAGGTGGAGGTGCAATTTGGGGTTGCCTTTTTTTTTTTTTTTTTTTTTCTCCTTCTAAGCAGGAGGGACCGCAGCATCACTGTGCCGGTCTCCGTCTGGAGCATCCCATGGGCTAGAGTGAGATGCAGGCATCCCAGGGGTGCTTCTCTGCTTGTCCCCATCCCCATGGCAGCCGTCTCGCTGTCAGTGGCAGACGCCGGCTCGTGGTATGACTGGGGTCCCCCTGAAAGCACCTCTGACGGGTTTTGGGACCAGTTATGACTGGACCCTTTTGACACCACTGTTCAGCAGCACCACAGAAAGTCCTTTCTGAAAACCTCAGCCTGATTTCGCTCTCAGCCACCAACCCCAGCCTTCATCTCTCAAGCGGATGAGCTCTTGGGTATGATGCTGGGGCAGGGGCAAAGGATGGAGAAGGGGGAAAGAATGGAGAAGGAGTGGTACCTCTCTCCCATGCAGTTTTCTCTGCATCCCTGTATCTCTCTGCATGTTTTTGTCCCATCTCCCTTTTGGTTTTCTTTTTTTCCTAGCTTAGCTCTTGCTGGGAAAGGCGGTCCGGGGCCAGCTCTGGTGACGGTGGTGGGATTTTGGATGGTCACCCCGCCCCGGCTGAAATCCTGTTTGCGTTCCCGGAGTGTTGGGGTGGAGTATCGCGAGGGCTGTGCCGTGTTTCATTCACCAGTGAGGAAAATAAATACGCCGGGGCCGTCCCTGGGCAGGCAGCGGGTACTACTGCGCTACTACAGCATGAAAACAAAACAGATCCTTGAGCCAAGCAGTGCTAGTTTGGCTCGGAAATACATTTTCCAGTCAGGTTGGAGCCAGACTTTTATTTAATTTTTTTTTTTTTTTTTTACTGCCCCACTAATCCTTTGAATATTTTGAGATTGGAAGCTATTTCTATTCCCTTGTGATCCCTTCTAAGCTGTTGTGCCAAAACGGTCTGTTTTGTTTTGTGTGGCGGGTTTTTTTTGGGTTGTGTGGGGTTGTTTTGTGGTGGTTTTTTTTTTTTGTTTGTTTGGGTTGGTTTTTTTTTACTTTTTCCTTAAGGCTGTGATTCCTACTTGGATCCTGCTCTTGGGTTTGTGGGAGGGGAAGGAGGCGGCACAGGTACCGCACAGGGTCCTGCCTGGGTCGCAGACTGCTCCTTTCTCCCCCAGCTACTTAGGGGATTGCATGGTGGCTTTTATCACGTGTCTAATGACTTCTTAAAATGGAGACTAGAATAGCTATCTATAGTACAGCATAATTGATGCACTAGCTCTTTTTTTTTTCTTTTATAAGCCAGCACTGTTTTCTTGCATCCCGTTTATTTTCTGCTAAAGTGTGGGAAGATGCTGTTTGAGAGGCTAGCATCCTGGTTCCCTCCTGCAGATAGAAAGTCCCTCAGTTTGCTGGAAGCATGATTTCTTGGTGTACAAATCCAATTGTGGCTTTCTTCTCAGTACGACAAAACCAATCGTTTTCCTTTTCTCGTTGAGCACTTCAGAGCTCATTGGGGAAGAAATGTGAGAATTCAATTAAACTATCCACACAGAGGTTTTTTAAGGTTAGAGAAGAAGTTGCTGCTGCGCCTGCAAGAAAATAAAATTATTTAGAAAGAGGGGGTAGAGAAGGTTTTGCTAGGGAGAGAAACTGGAGAGTGGCATCTCGGAATTCCTCCCTATTTAACCAATGCTTGGATGTTGCCAGAGGGGATGCTCCTAAGGGAAGCCTGTAATTGAAAAATGAATGAATAAAAGCCTAAAAATAATAATAAAGAGTAAAAGCCTCTCCTGTGATATATATCTTATGCAACAAGTCCCATTTGCGCTACGTACCATGTGCAGGCCCTAGCAGCCTGGCACCTGCACAGCTCCTAGGAACTGTATTTAAAAAGCTTTAAAATAGTAGTAATAACAAAAAAAATAGTACTAGTTCTTTGACTCTTGCCAAGTTTAATAGAATGTTTATTTTCTTGTTGTTCATCTGTTTCAACTGCTCCGTTTTTGTTCCGTGCAGCTTCCCGGTGGCAGTCTCACTCGCTAGCAGAAGATGTACAGCCCGAAATCTGGATTGCACAGGAGCTGCGACGCATCGGAGATGAGTTCAATGCCTCCTATTGTCCAAGAAGGGTAACTTTCATCTTTTTACTTTCCATTTCTTTACACACAGTCTCTAAAAGGGAAAAGCTTAATCATCTCTGGAAACTAGTTCTGCGGTGAATGTTTCGTTCACTCAAATGCAGAAAAGGATGCGCGGGTGGTTGTCTTTGCCTGGACGCAGGGGTGTGCTGCCTGCGCCGGTGTCTCGTCTGCTGCTGCAGCGTCATTAAATCAATTAAAAATAACCTTTCAACTGTGACTTGAGGTTTTTAGGTACGAAGTTCACAGTATCTTTCGTAGCACTCGGGGCCCATAAAGTGTGTTGCTGGATTGGGACTAGACCTGACAATAACGAGGAATAAACTTCTAAAAATTAAGACACAGAGAAAGTTTGGGTGTGTTGGAGTATTTTTGGGGTGGTGTTGGGAAGAGCCCCTCTGGAAGCAGTGCCTGGCTAGGAGCTGGGGAGCAGTCAGGTGCCCACTACGGCTTTTTCAGAAAAATGGGTAGGGAGCGAATGTAGCACGTTACTGTGCTTGGCTCCCAAATTCTGCTGCTGAGGAGGGCGTGCATGGGAGTGTAGTCACAAATGTGAAGCAGGGATAGATTTGGTCTGGTAACTTATCTTTCTTATAAAGAATCTGCCAGAGCTGTTTGGAAACACATGTATTTTATAAGGCTGTAAACTCTCTCACCTTTGAGCGTTGCAATAAAAATAGGTGGTACTAATGAAAAAAAACCAAACCCACCAAACCCAAAACAAACCAGCCCAGAGAGATGAAGTAACAGTAGTTTTCAGAAGAGCCTCGTTAGCCAGTACCTTGCCTGCCGAATGTTCTTGTCGACTGCATGTCTGTGCATGTGGCTTCTCATCCATCAGATCACCCTTGTGCTTGTCTGTGGGAAGAGGAGTCAGAAGCATGTTAGGTAGCAGCGTTGGTGATGAAATGCTGACTGTCCGGATCTTTATCCGTCCTCCCCGGCTCGTGAGTCACTCCTGTAGTGTTTCCTCGCCACTCCCAGGGTCCGTTTGGCAGATGCATGTTGACAGGGGCTCTGCGCCAAAAGGGGTGCCAGGCTGCCGTGATCTGGCTCCTTCCGCACAGCCTCTCTGCATTGCCTTCCTGGAGACTTCTCTATCAGTTCCATTTTTTCTTCTAATGCTCTGGCTTTCTTGACTCGCAACAAACTGGAGAGAAGCTGCATTCTATCCTGAATCTGCAACATGCATCTTCCAACTTCCCCCATTCAGGCTGATCCCTCGTGATGTGAAATACCTGCTTTTTTTTTTGTTGTTGTTTAAAGGACATTTTTTCAATGAAAGATAGGGACTGAGACAATCCTATCAGCGTTTAGGAAGCTGAACGTGCCTGGTAGTGGTGAGCTGATCCAGAAGGGCTGGCAGAAGCACAGAGTGCTGTGCCATCCCTTCTCATTGCTGGCTCTTGGAGAGGTGCCTTAAATTTGGAGTGCAGGCAAGTACTTTGAGCGCCTTCTGGGAACAGGTTTGCGATGAGCAGTAATGTCCTTCCTGTGTGATCGGGGACTGGCTCCCTCGGTGCTGCCCCACGTGGGACCTTGCAGGCTGGAAATCTGTGCCAGGCATGTGTCGCCGCCCTGAACAAAACCGTGATTTGTACTGCCTGGCATAAGAGGGCATGAATTTAACAGGGGGCTGAGGAAAGGTGGGAAAGGATTTTTTTTTCCCCGTGAGTCTGAGAGGGTGGGTGTGAAGCCAGCAGCATGATGGGGCGCAGGTGCCTGGTTGCAGAGCATCGTGCGGGTTTGCACAAGGTGTTTCCCAGCGCCGTGGCCAAGCTTCCAACTTTCTGCCCCAGGGAGAGAACTGAAACGCAGAGGACCACGTCCTGCTTGGTAGGTGACACGAGCAGAGGCTGTCATGCATGACCCTAAAAACACTTTGTACCTGGTTTAATTAGCATCTGACGAATTCTCGCTTGTTGCACCCAGGAATGAGGAGATTTCGGAGCATGTAAGCAATTGCTGTAGAATTACTGTCTCTGCTGCGCTGCTTTGTTGCTTTGTGGATGGGTGTCTTTTCCTTCTGCGCGCGGTCTGGCTGCTGCGGGGGAAAAGGTGGTCTCTGCAGAGCTGGAGCCCTTCGGCAGGAGGGGTAGGTAGGATGCCTTACGGGCATGCCTGCCGCTGCCACTTGCTGGGGTTTGCCCTTTAAGAGCGAGGCTAGAAATGGGGAACTGAGAGCCCTGCCAAAACGGCACTTGCCGGGCAGGTCGGAGCTGTCGGACGGGTCGGAGCTGCGTGTTCCCCATCACGTTCCCCATCGGTGCGCCCTGTGCATCACCCCCTGGGGACCGTCTCTTGGGCAAGACAACTGGGAATCGGACAACTCGCCACCCAGCCCCTCTTTTCCCCGACAAAGCTCGCGGGTCTGGCGAGAGGAGGTGGCCATGGGACCCTCCAGCCAGGGAGACCAGCTCCACTCCAAGGCTTTTGCTGGCAGAGAGTGCATCAGTTGGCCAATGTTGCGTGCCCCGAGCTTTGCTGCCTGCACCTGAGCTGCCTGCGGAGGTGGAAAATGTCTTGTTTAAACTCACTAATGTTTTTTTTTTTTTTATACCCCTTTATTAAAGAAACCCTAATTTTGGCATTTCTCTTGCATCCTTCTCTAAGCCTGTTGGTTTTTTTTGTTTTTTTTTTTTTTTTCCCTTGCTTTCTGCCATGTTGGCGATCAGGCAGTGCAGTGGGCTTAGTGTTGTGCTGGTGGGGGGCAGCTCCTGGGTGGGTAAATCCCACTCCTGCCGGCGGATGCTCGAGCGTCGTCTCTCCATGGCAACAGTGTCCTGCTGCAGGACCGACTGTGTTACACCCCTGTAGCGGGGAGGGCAGTTTGCATATTGGTGTAAACAGCGTAATTTCTCTCTCTCCGGGGCATGCACAGACATGATTTTACTGCACTAAATATAGCCCGAATTGGATTGCTTTGGGATGGTATAGAGAGGGAGGGGAGAGGGGATGTTTGGGCTATTCTTTTGCCCTCCAAAAAAGGTGTAAAAATAAATGCTCATTTGATGATTGCTCCTTTTTCTTTTTGTTGTATGCTGTTGTGATTCCCTTGGTCCCGGGAGGAGTGTTTTGCTGCCGTGTCCGGCTTGCCGTATTTTGTGAATGAGGTGGTGGCTACACCTGGAGTGGTCTGAATGAAAATCTGTGTGTCGTTGCCACAGGCAGAGACCTGTCTGTGCCGAGACCAGTGCTGCTCTCCGTGCCGAGGGATATTTTTTATTTAATTTATTTTTATTTTTTCCTCTCAGCCTTCCCACCCTGTGGTTTTTAACCCCCCCTGGCTGTGCTAGCGGGGCTTACTGCTCCTTTGCAAAGTTTCAGACCCCCCAGCAGCATCGTGTGCCTCCTATGCCCACGCGCAGGGACTTGCACGTGACATCCCTGCTGAGCAGTGCTGTGGCAGCCGCCTTTAAGGCAAACATGGCTGGGAGCGGGCAGCTTCAACCATCTGAGTATTGTAAAGCTTTTCATTGAAGGAAGACATGAAAGGCCACGGGGTTTACTTTCATTCTTTGTAAAATGCTTGATTTTGCACCTCTGAAATATCTGTGTGGCACCGCACAGGGGCTTCACACTGAAAATTAAAGTTACAGTCTTGTTTGGTTTTCTTTTATTTTTTTTTCTCACCTTTCATTTTAGGGTTTCTTGGATAACCAGGCGGGAAACCCCCAGATCGTCATTTTGCGTCTCCTGCGTTACATCATCCGCCTCATCTGGAGGATGCAGTGAGTGGCAGGCGCATCCCGATGTGCTGGGACTTGTTTACTCGTTGGGAAATCCCGGGGAGGATGGACATGCGGGGCTCCCGGCGCTGACTAGCTCCCACCCTGCCTCTCCTGCAGGATATGCAGCAGGGGTCATTAGATGAGGGTGGACATCCCACGCCGACCTGCTGGGACTCTCCGATGCAGGATTTTGTCCGAGAGTGGTGTTTACTGCGTTTCTTTCAACTCCTTTTGTTATTTTTTTTTATTATTTTTCCAAAAGAGTCTCAGAGAAAATATTCAACGGCAATGGAATAATTTTTTTGTCATCACTTCTGGATACGTGTCAGCTCGTCTGGGATAAACCCTGCAGCGGAGAAAAGGAAAACCTGAGCCAGCTGATGGGCAGAGCTGCCTTAGTTTGCCTTGCAGACCTTACTGCAGAGACTTGTGGAGCCCTCCCCTCTCCCTTTGCCTCCTGAGCATTTGCCCACAAAAAAGGATGGTGATGATGGAAGAAGGGCAGAGGGATTTAAATCAGCACTTCTCTTACCTGTAAATACCTAATGCTACCCCAAATCCCCCTTCATTTGCATCATGCAAATAGCCTATTTCCTGCTGGCTGATTTTTTTTTTTTTTAATGTTTTTTTTTCTACACTCTGAATTTCAAGACTTAGCTGTCAGATTCCCAGGGTCCAAAATACCACAACCAACCAAACAAAAACCCCATCCACCAGGTTGCCTTTTTTTAGAAATTCTTTCTATAAAACGTGTGAAAATGCTTACGTATTGTATAATATTATATATAATATATAATGTTGATGACTGAGTAATTCAGCAATAAAACGTTCTCGGAGGCAGGTAGAAACAGTTCCCAGCACACTGCAGCTTTGCACCCGGAGACAACAGCTCCTTCTGCGTAACTTCAGGAACTGTTTTAAGTTGTGGCTTGTACCTTGCTGTTGAGGGGTTTTAAGGCGCTGGATTTTTTTTCCTGGGATCCTCTCTGTGTTTGGACAGGACAGCCTGGAGCAGGGGGGGTGAGCGGGACAGGACCGGCGGCATGAAGACCCTGGATGCTGGCAGACAGGGATGCAGCTGGAAGAGGTGCCAAAGGATGCCAGGCTGGTATGGATCCACCTGGGGATTCGCTGCGTGGGGTCTGCTCCCCACTGACTGCCACGTCTACTACCAAACTGCCCCCGTTTCCCTGGGAAGATCTGACCAGGTGCTTGATGCTGTCCCAGGGCATCTCGCCTTCCACCTGGAGACCCCGCAGCCTTGCTGGAGGAGCCCCAAGGGCTTGTCGGAAGAAGCAGGTCTGTGTCCTCGGGGCTCCCTGTTGCCTCCGGTTCATCTCACGGGTGGGCGGCTGCTGCATGGCGGGCACTTTTCGGGGGGTGGCTGCTCCAGCCACCCCTGTATCTATGCACAAGTGTACCCCTCTCTGCCTCCGGAGCTGCCCCTTTCTTCTGGCTGGTGCAGGTGGTCCTCAAACCCACTTCCAAACAGCACGGTTTTATTTCTGGTTTCACCAGCACCATAGGAAAAAAAAAAAAAAGAAGGAAAAAAAACCAAAACAAATCCAAGCCCATGATAGTGTTTTTTCCGGCAATATGCGTGCAGGGAGAAGCTGTTGAGTGCCATGTATGATTATTAGTGTTTTTAATGATGGACAAACTGTACAATCTGACCTCTATGCACTGGCTGCCTGTGCCTCTTGGGTAGGCGAAGAGCCGGGGTGTCGGTGCAGGGCTGCGTGCCTCCGATTGCACTCCTCTGGAGGATTACGGAGCAATTTTTAATGTCTGTTTTAAATTTTTTTATTATCTTTTTTTTGGACCTGCGGGATGAGCGTTGGTTGCAGGAGTTGGCCTCAGCTGCAGGAGCAGGGAATGTTTTGGAAAGGGTATGTTGGAGAGGGGGCCGCGGGAACCTTTGCACTGGGTGGAGAGTGAGCGGTTAAAATACCTGATGAGTTTGGCCAGGGCAGGTTCCTGCTCCTCATCCCCTTGGTTTTGGCTCACCGTAGCTGTGCTGCCCCAGCCGTGCTCAAGCCATCGCTTTTCCTGTAGGGTTTATCTAGAAAACCCCAGCAGAGTGGCTGCTGCTGCGGGTTTACCGTGGGAACCTATTTGGAATTGCACGGCTGTTGATAAAAGGAAAAAAAAAAGAGATACAATATTTGGCAACAGAGGGGGAAACCAAATGAGCTTTTTATTCCCAGTTGAGTTTCATCCGTCGTTGGTGGATGAAATGGTGCTTTCGGGTCTCGCAGCCTTACAGCATCCCAGCACTGCGCCACCCAGAATGTGTCCCTTGGAGTACACCAAAGAAAAGCCAAGCACTTTACCCCATCCTCCGCACTGGGCCGCCCCAGCCAACGATGGAGACAAAAATTATATTAATTTTAAGGGGAAAAAAATCAAGGTATTGACACCATCTGCCTGGGACTTCGCCACAGGAGGTGTTCCCAGCCAAAAGGTAGATAGACAGGAAAATTAGCCCTCAAAAAAACAGGTTTTGCCCCCGTAGAGTTGTGAGGTTTAGGGGAAAAAACAAAACAAACCAACCAAAAAGCCTCTAAACAGAAGAATGATGTTTTTAAATAAGGATTATGCTCATTTTAGCCATGTTGGCTGACTGCTCTGGGTCATTTTAAGTGTAACCTGTGGTCTCTGTTCTACCAAAAGAATGTGATGAAGAGTTTTCCTTGGTTGCGGGGAAACCAGATTTATTCCCGAGCGATCTCACACAATGTGTTAATGCTTCTCCTCTTTTCTGTAACTGTAAATACCTGAATATTTATTAGAGTAGGGCACCATATTATTTTCATCATCTGAGCCAAATATCTGTGTGCAATGTATTTCCTTTCCTTTCTCTTATGTAAGTTTTGTACAGCTTATAAATAAGTAAAAAAAAAAAGAAAAAAAGAACTTTTTTTCTAAACTTTTTTAGAGTTGAACTTGGTAAATACTGTAGATTCTTTTTTTCCCCCCTGTGTAATTAATGCACTCTACTGTTCCATAATGCTGTAACTTGTAGAAATGTTGTGTATTTATTTTCTGCTTATTTAAGTTCCTGTAAAGATTATGTTTTCCCCCTTCTCTCTTCCCTGCCCCTGCAATAAGTGATGGATCACCTTCCAAAGCGCTGTCTTCTCCTGGCAGTGCAGCCAACATGGTTTGGTTAATGAGATTTATTATTATTTTTCCTCAAAGTGCCTAAGTCCCACTTCCCAGTAGTGATTTAGGCACATCAAAGACTTTAGCATTAGTGAAACTCAGTGGGAATTTGGCTTCTACATCCCCATGATTTTTGCCACCCTCCCTTTAAAGCCACGTTTTGCTCCATCTCAGCCACTTTCCCTGGACCAGCTTTAACATCAGGTACCGCCCCAGCGCACAGGGATGTGCTGATGAATCACTAACTCGTTTCACAGGACCCAGCGTATGTAGCATTTTTACTGCAATTTCCCTGGCTTACTTGTGTTTTGCACTGATGAATTTTGGACAGGGTAATTGCCACTTTACTTGTGCAATACTGCTGTAAATAATTGCAGATCTTTTTTTTTTTTTTTTTTTTAAGATGCATTTTTTTTTTTTTTTAAACTGGGTTTTTTTTCACAGGACCCAGCGTATGTAGCATTTTTACTGCAATTTCCCTGGCTTACTTGTGTTTTGCACTGATGAATTTTGGACAGGGTAATTGCCACTTTACTTGTGCAATACTGCTGTAAATAATTGCAGATCTTTTTTTTTTTTTTTTTTTTAAGATGCAATCTTTTATGTTCTTAACATGAGTTTTATATGAATAAAGACTTTCAACTATTTGTCACGAGTGCTGTTTTCTTTGGGGGCTCGAGTAGCACCCCAGGAAGGGCTGTGTGTGTGTGGGGGGTCTGCTTTATCACCAGTTCTCTTTGTTTGTCACTCCTTCTCCCCCAGACCCAGGACGTGGGTGCATACCTGGGCTTTCCCCATGCTCTGAAGTTCCCGGGACACTAAAATGCATCTGTTAAATGAAGCAGGTTTGTAAAGTGTTGCCTTGAGCGTTTTCAAACCCAAAAGCAGTGTGCCTCTGCCCCCCCGAGCTGGTAGCGTTGCGGGTTTTGGTTGTTTTTTTTTTTTCCCTTTTCCCCACACTTATGGAGCTCTGCCCACATGAGCTGCATTAAGGGGCTGAAACCCAACTGCCGGGCACCTTCCTGCGCCCCCAGGGCCTTCCCTGTCCCCAGTCCATTGAAGCAAGTTTTGAGAAGCATTATTATTTGTGTATTATTTTTTTTTTACTTTATTTTATTGTTTTATTATTATTTTAAAGTTGGACCAAAATCTGCTTGGAAAAATTACCATCCCACCTTCCTTCTGCCCCAGCCCTCTGTCCTATTTTTGCCTCTGCTCTGGTGGCCAGGTGTCCTCGGGAGGAGGAAGGTGACGCTTCCCGCCCTGCCTACCCCTCCGCTTACTCCTCTTGCTTTTATTTCACTTGCAGGTAATAGGCAGCAGAAAACTGATAGCATCAGCTGTGATTTGGAACTATATTCTGGTGAGATCTCTCCCATACAGCTTTTGGCATAAAAGGAGCAGATAAAAGGTGATGGGAGAGGTCCCTAAATTAATTGGGGAGGTGGCAGGAATGAGTGTGGGATGGGGCTGGGCCAGCTGAGGCACATGGGGATGGCTTGGGTTGCTCTCCTTGGACCACGGTGCTTTTGGAATACCCCAATAAATTGTTTAGAAGGCATGTAAGTAAAATAAGAGGATCAATATGGTTGTCATGGAGGGAGGGAGAGCATTGCATGCCAAAAACGGGGCGGTGGGGGGAAGGTGGTACCTGCAGAGACATCCAGTATTATATGAGATGGTCACACCTGAGCACCCACATCCCTGCGCTGATGCTTTTCCCCGTTCTTGCCTGACTTCCCATTTAATTCCCACGTCGAAGGTTTGCAGTGATGCCACAGACACAAACCAAACTGTTAAGCATGTTTGCGGGTTGTGTTTGATTTTTTTTTTTTTTCT